ATAATACTTTTCAATTTATCGTGTTATATTTGATAATATCTATAACACTATCATTTACACATTGTGCGTAGAAATTATCGTGAAAATCGCCGATAATGGGAAATACGGGCCATTGATCCATAATTTCCTTAAACGATGGATAATGTTCAGCGAGAAGATTCAAATCCGTGTCGCTATCGATCTAAACTTCGTGGCGGACAAAGTGCAAGTCCTCTCGATTCTAAAACGAACGATACGACGACGCCGAGTCGTCACGAGGAAATTCGTTACTTTGACGATCGTTTCCATCCAAGTTCTCCGACGGCGCACAATGAAATGAATCACATTGCTGTTATAGGCAATCGTTTGCGATTCATTTAACTTGCTAAGAGATTCTTTCCGGTAACGTCGCGGTGCGTTTAAAGTGTCATTCGGGAAAAGAAATTTTCCGAGAAGAGGAACCATTTGCGACATGCTCCGTAGTTGAACGCAGCTCGCGGATTTCCTTACTCCACTTTCCTTGCTCAAGTTTGTCGAGTAACGATCGTTAACACCCTCGTAATCGTTATCGCGAGTACGCATTGTGAAACCAAATGGCGTGCGCACATCGGCCCACTTCAACATTTTGTTTATGACATTTCTTCCCCAATTTTGTTGTACTCCAAGCGCATAATTCGCACGAGAATTTCGCTTTGCATTACAAATAATTGTAGCATTTATCGCGTACATAATTTATACATTTTGATATTCTGCCATGTTAAAAAAAACTTAAATTTGCATATTATGTAATATTATGTCACAATTTATTTGGTATACAAGACAAAAATAAATATAAAATAAAATTTAAATGCGAGAGAATTGATACCATATGAATGGTTCGAATATAACAATCATGACGAAAAAATATTAAAAATTCAGCAAGCAAAAAATATGTTCGGAGACACTGAAAATATGAAATATTGAATTTAAAATTATATAAATATTTCTATTATCAATATTGTTATAACCTGTAAGAAATTTAGTTTCAATCATAATTTTTGCAATCTAATTTTAAAAAATCACCGATATTTATAAATTATAAATAAATCTCCGAAAAACATCTCTCCAGAGTATTCATTTTAATATATTTTATTTACACAAAATTTTTAGTCCTGTTCGCTTCTGTAGGTGCAACTGTGGCATGTAGATCATGCGTGGCATGTGACGCAGCCAGCACGCATTTGCATATTAGAACGACGCACGCCATCATATGTGCGTAAGAATGTTTAGGAAAAAATGGAGCGCTAGTGAAAGGAAGCTCATATGAGCTCACACATATCAGCGCCGAGCAAAGCAAGGTTGACGGAAGGGTGGCAAAAAGACTCGCCGCAGAGATAACCACATTCAAGATATTCGAGCAATTTCAGCCGTAGGAATATTCATGAACGATGCTGCGGTTGCTTGCCTGTACTGTTCCGCTTCTATTCACTCTATACGGATCACCTCTATACGGTCGGGGTCAGAGAGCTCGCTCCACATAGCAGGAGAGCCGTGCAAATGAGAGAGGCCGTTGAGAAAGAAAGAGGGTGGTCGATGGACGAGCACTTGCCCTGAGGTGGAAAATGAGAAAGAGAAAGACAGATAGTTACCGAGGTTAAATGGCGACATTCACGCTTCAATTATTTAAAGTGCGTAGATAAAACCGATAACAAGGCACAATTTGTCATGGCAACTTCCAACCATTTTGAGCATTTGCTCGAGATGACGAGGTAATCGGTCACACGAGTGGACAGAGAGCAATAGAAGGGAGAAAAAGATAGCGCGGTATCCAGAAATAAATTACACCGGATTATACGATTCTGTGCTACTTTCTAAATTCGCTATTCCAATCACTAAAACGATATAGCCGTTTAATCCAGCCATAAAGAAAACTCAAGGACTTCGCGCTGTCGTCTAAAGCACGGAGCCTCGTTCTTGCGTAATTTACTTTTACAATAAGAAGTACCTCGTCCGATTCGGGTGAAAATTTTTCTTCGAGGCTAAAAGCCGAGGAAAAATAAAGAAAATCTTATTTCGTCAAGACTTCACAATCTCCTCTGATTTTCCGACTCAGAAACGCTAACTCGCGAAGCCGAGACTTTATCGCCAAACCTCCGGAACCAAGAAGAAATTCGAACTGCAGCGCGCGCAAGACAATTTGCGAAATCGCGATCGCCTTGAGGCTGGGAAATCGAAAACCCATGATTGCAATTTGTGCTTGCAAGCGTTGTACAACGTCGTCGTGGTAACATGACTACGGGCTGCTTGCATTGTCGTATAACGCTAAGTTTCTGCGTTGCGAACCGCATTCCATGTCTCGCTGCATCGTATAAATTTCGTATAAACCAGCAGCACTAAACTCAATTCTATTAAACTATATATCATGATAATTCATCATCAGATTATTTTGTTGATTTTGGAAAAAATAATTGCGATTATTATTAATAATTATTATACTAAAAAAACTAATATGCAGTTGAAAGAGATTCAACCGTGAAAAATATAATTTCAGATTTTAATGCACTCGGTGCACACAGTTTTACGGATTCGAATTATCGCAAATGTTACAGCTACACCCATTTTTCGTTACACAATTTTATAATTCCAAGTTTCCTTCTATTTGTAAATAAAAAAATGTATGAATCGACACGCGTCGATGTGAAAAAAATACGATATTTCCATGCCGGTTCAACAGAGCATATTTAAAAAAAGAACTCGAAACACAATATACTCGATTATTACAAAATTGGGATTCCTATATCGGAACGTCAGTTTTTGGCGATGCGTATTATCGTATATATGCATTGTTCCACCGTATTCATCTCATCGTCAAATATCGATATAGTTTTTTTTTATAGTATAGATAGTTTAACTTGTTATCGTTTACTAGTAGGATCGAACAAGTATTTGTTTTTTTATTTGCAACTCTAATCGATACTACACAATCTTGTTACTGGTCACGTCTATTTAAAATTCTTTTAATTCTTAAAGACACGACTTTAAAAATTTAGAAATTATTTTTCTTAGAGATATATTCTTTATAATTGAGAACTGTCATAGTATCAATTTTTCTTACTTTCAAACAGAATCAATTTCCGATTTATGAATAATTTATACATAACAAAATGTTTAAGTTAACTTGTTATAAAGTTCCGATGCAATTCTTAATGATTTGCACAGTATTTCGAATATTTCGTACTGTCCCATTAATACGATTATCGAGACTATTTCTCACCGTTAACGAAAAGATGCTGGTAAACAGAAGAGGGTGGCAAATGCCGGAAGTGACAGTAGTGCTAATCGGCGATTCCCCCATCCTCTCCCTCTCTCCGGGTCATCCCCTTGCACCGGAAGTGTCACCGAAGGTCGGATTTACGGCCGGGAACGGGTTCAGGAGGGATCATATATTTAAGGTCGTATATTTCGGTTCCAGAACTTTTTTAGAAATTTATCGTGTAACAGTAATATCTATCACTTCGTTCGTGCCAGAAAAGTGAGACAAGTTTTAATTTTATATAACCTGTTTAATAATATTTTAATCGTGCTAAATAATTCAATAGATGGTCAATAAATAATTATTATAAATGTGACAAAAGCATGTTGCCAATATCAGGATATTGGCTGTCAAATGTCGCGATGATTGAATGTGAATAAAAGATAAAAGCGACGACAAATTCAAATCCTTGAAATGTTGAAAACATTTTAAAAGAGCATTTAAGAATGATAAATTTATAATGTCGCATGCTTTCTATATTTTCGTGCACTTTTATGCGCTTTTTCCTTTCTTCAGAAATAAAATTTTGAAAAACACTTACCTTAAGTGCAGAAGATGTAGAAAATACACATGACGAGAACAAATTCTATATCTGCCATCACAACGCGATATCATTAATCTTTTATTAATGGTTGATCATTAGCCTACATTAACTTTTACTTTATCACTCAATCAAAAATCAAGTGGCCATGAAAAACGTCGATCTAGTTCGTGAAAATATATCATTTTTGTAGGAATTAAGAAGTTTTACCGTTAATATAAAATAAGTATATCCTACCGACATGTTTATGTCTCGTCATGCGTGTTGTCGAGACAGGTTATTTGTCTAAATTTTATTATATCCCCTGTTATTTGAGCGTGTTGTGTTGTTCGTTGTCGAGACAATAGCCTTGTTATTGCGAGCGAAAATCAGCAGGTAACCGCTACGGCGACCTTCTCGAATAATCCGCGTATGTTAACCGAAAATAAAAGACTGTTGACGATTTCGGAGAGAAGGAAGGCAGAAGACCGTTTCCAGCGAAAGAGAAAAGACGTGTTTTTGCGTAGACAAGCCGCTCGAAAATCTCCTGGCGAATCACGCGAAATAAAGGAAACTGTATACGCGCATCTATACTTATATAATTAAACTGCATTTGATTGAAGTTGAATATTCATATCCTTTATTTTATTTTTTTAAAATAAAATCCAAATCCGCGTTTAAACCTACATTTTTGATTGTGTTAAATATTATATTTGATTATCATGCAAGTTTAAGTTTCGTTGCCACGTCATCAATCAAAAAATATTTATAAAAAATAACTTCAAAAAATGACGATAGTAGAATCAATGATCGTTATTTTTTATCAATACGTTATCGATTTGTGTTTCGACATTTTGCCTTTTATTTGCCAGCATCTATTGGTCTCTCGTCTCTCGACTCGCCACCCTTGAATTTTAACATGCCAGAAACAAAACGACGACAGTGATGAATGCGTCGAAAAAGCAAACTATAAAAGACACTCGTTCACCCCGACAACTTTAATCATCGCGCGCGTTCTCGCGATTGAAATAAAATCGGTGAAGGATCGTTTCGATGGAAATTTACGTCGTTAATAAGATATGAAGCTTTTAGCAAAGGCACAAAAAGCGCCTATCGTGGCGACGAAGGGTAGATTTATGGTGGCGGATGGGTGGCTGCGCCCTGGATTCGACAAAGGTTAACCAGTTCGCCTGTTTATTTTCGTTGCAGGACGACCCATGGTTCATCCGCCGAGTCAGATGGTGACGGCGAACGAGGGCGAGCCCCTAGACATTATCGTCGAGTTCTGCGCCGAGCCGAGTTACACCAAGGTTCTCTGGATGTCGGAGGAGCGCGTGTACACACCAGATGCACCCTCTCACGACGGGGTCCGAGCTCTCGGAATCGAGGTAAATTTGCATGTCTTGCTGCATCAAACATTGCTCGCGCGCCCGTATATCTTCGGGGTTCCTCTACTCTACTCGTTCAAAGATTAACGTAAATTCAGGTTACACAAACAGGTTAAATATATAAATATATTGGTCTATAATTATAAATTCATTTGCAATCCCCGTTGAATAACGATACATTATTCGAACGCTCGCCGATTATTTCTTCTCCGAATAAAAAAAGATTATAAAGATTGCGAATGGGATTTTACTTTAATCAGTTCATAATGCTTTTAATTGTAAATGCATTATATGTTAAATCAATTTTTCAATTGAAATGTTAATAATCACGAAATTAATACGTGAACTGTCAGTTTTTTTTTCCAGAATGTTATTATCGCTGTAAATGATTGCTTATTTATCTTATCAATCATATAAAAATAAATGTTTGATTACTTTTATCGATATTAATAGCAATGTCGTAATATATATGTGATCAGTTTGTTTTTTCTTTGTGAAATACATTTTTATTTTACGGGGAAAAACCTCCGCGAGAGTAAGCTAACTGATATTGCACTTCCAAGTGCATTTCATCGGTCATATGTTTCCACTTTACAGAAGGGAAGTAATTGCAAATAGTGAATATAAAAATTGCAATCTTTGCACAGTAAATAACAAACGCTCCGTAACAAAACTACACAAAAAATACATTGATTATATATCAATAGTTTGCAAATATTTATTTCTTATATCGCAGCAATATTTAACAGTTAACGATATAATGAAATATTTACTTAAAAATATTTCTTCTTTTTACATAAGACTCTTCGTTTTAAAATCCTTCGTTAACTCTACTCGAGATTATACAGAAGCTGAATGAAATAACAAAGTTTGAAAAAAGATACGGTGATTCGGGCCGCTACTTTGAATATTTGTTCGAATGACCTTTTTCCGGCGAAATCGTGCCTTCGTGCGCTGTAAAAATGCCGCGCAAAAAAAAAAAAAAAGAGTGATTCGCGCTTCGCGTGAAAATCCGTCGTCTTTTATAATATGGACAGGAATTATGTTTGTACACCCGCTCGGGGATTACACGCTCTCCGGAGACCCGTTTAGTCCTTTGACGCGAAAATTATGCCGCTACCCTGGTGCGGACGTTCGCGCGATATCCGAGATACTGCGACACGACTTGGCATGGGGGAGAATAGAGGGAGAGGGCGAATGGGGGAACTATGAGAACTGGAACAACCACGTTGTGCGTCGCATCACGGAAACGCGCAGCAAGCGGAGGGAACGAGATGAAAAGGAATGCAGAGCATGTGGCGGCAGGCGTATAGTGATGAGATTCACATACATATATATATATATATATATATATATATATATATATATATATATATATATATATGTATATCATAATGTATTATATATATATATATATATATATATATGATGTATATATATATATATATATGTATATATACTACGGGAATATTATGCAGGAACCGGCCTCGCGCGCGCATGACTACATATACACGCTTATTTCATTTCCGCAGCCGGCAAACTTCTTTCTCAACGCCCGAGCGGAGACGGAATCCGCGCGAGATAGCTGCATCATAAAAAGGACGGATTAACCATTTTTTTCCAGTCCAGGACCGGGCGGGCGCAAACAATGCGACGGAGCTTTGCGAGAGGATTTGCCGATGCACCCGGTGTGTGTGTGTGTGTGTGTGTGTGTTGCGTTTGTTTTTATTAACGTTTGATCCTCTTCGCTCCTCCGCGCGCGCAGTCTGATTTCGCGGCGCGAGTAACGAGACTAGCTCCCGCTCGATACCATTGGAAATTGCAGATTTTATTGGGAAGCGCGATCATGCGGGCATACAATATACGTGTATGTATATGTATGTACATACGCACGCATTGCTGCACGCACTGGTTGTAGATATAATATTTGAGAAATGCATTTTTTTACAGAGAGTTGTAGAAACGTTCTCTTGCGCTTCCTATACTTTTTGCAGCGGTTTAAAAGAGAAATATGTATATCGTTAAAAATTGATAACGGTTGACGTAGGTTTTTTTCTGATCGTCGCGAATATTAGGCAATAATATTATCAGATATTATTGAGATGCTTTTTTCATGATATATTTTGTGTTATCATACAAAATTTTGTATTCTGTATCGTAAAAGAAAGAAAAGTAGCATTAATAATCTATACATGTTCTATTATTTTATATTATTGCATATTTTTACGAGTAAATCAACTCCAAAGGAATTACAATTACATTATAACAACATGAGGATAAAAGAAAGAATATGATATACCAAAGGGATTTTTAAAAATGCTACAAAGACGAAAAGGGAAAAGAAAATCAGAATAAATAGCGATAGGTCAAAGTAAAAGAAATCTCAAATATGTTATCAGATGAGAATAGCGAAATGTTAAAAAGGGGCAAAAGGGACAACGAAAGATAAAAAGAGCACGACAGAAACGAGATCAGAAACTCACCAAGAGAATAGGTTAATAGAAGATGGAGAAAAATGTTGGAAAACCTCGATAGAAAAATCTCGAACGACCAAAAAAGGTAGAATATGTTAGCAAAGAAATACTGAGCACTGTAAAGGCAAACGGATAGCACGAGAGCGAGAAGAAAAAACGAAAGTCAGGAAAAAGTTAGAATGTGTTAGTGGAGAAAGTTTGAACAAACTGGAGTCAAAGAGAGAGGGAGATACGTGTGTGTGAGGGAGAAAGGAAGATGGTCAGGTGAAGAAGGCACAAGCAAAGCCAAGATGTCGGGGTAGCAAAGAAGGCAGAGATGGAAAAATACACACACACACACAGAGATAGAATGAGATGAAAGTAACAGAAAAGGAAGAGAGCGTAGACGGGAGGCAGAAAAGGAAGTGAGAGAAGGATGCGGGCAGAAGTCGTGAATAGAGAATACAAGTAGAACGGGTCAACGGCTGGGGAGGCACGAGCCTCCGGATGGAAATCGAGGGTAGGAGATGGGGAAAGGCTGAAACGCGAGGTTAAATGGAGCAAGAAACTGCGACTCCTTGCATGCGAAAAACTCACGAAGATCTTCGCGACGACGACGACGTCTGCTTCGAATCGCGGCGACAAAATATCGCCGAGAAACTGCATTGATCTCGCCGGTGAATAGCAGCGCAAGCCTGATTCAATTACGCAAACATATTTCTCTTCGATCGCGTCACCAATAAAATGCATACACAGGAAAACATCCCCGTTGCTTCGATATTAAAAGAACACAATGACATGTCGTGTATATTGAACCGGATATATCTCTCGCGATCGGAACGATGGAGGTCTTTTATGAAGTCGTTGTATGCCCTGGTGGTATGGTGTTTTAGAATAAGATCGAAAACGGAAGCGTTACGTAGCATCGCGATCGCTTCAATCTCACAATAGGAGGAAAATATCGAGTATACAATTATGACACGTTTGTGTCATTCAACATACATTTCTTATGATAACAATTCATAAATGGTATATTTTTATGACTCTGTGTGAAATAATATATAAATCATATTTTGAAAATTGATGGATAAATGCTTTATATTTTTTTTGACATATATCCTCTTTCCTTGTTCTCCTCGTTTTTATGATTATTAAAAAAGTATCTCAATTTGCAAAAAAAAAAAATGTATATTTATACATATACTTTATTGTAATGAGTCAAAATACTTAGTTTACACATTTTAATTTCGGTACAATTTTTTATACTAAATTATTTTCTAATAATAATAAATACTGAAACAAAATATTTCAAATATTTTTTTAATTTAGCTTGTAGTAGATTATTATATACGGATATTTTATATCACCGAAATGATATCCGATGATGATTATCTGATATCATGTATGTATTTATATTTTGTGGCAAAAGAAAGCTAAAATATTTTTAAATGTATTTTTTAAATAACATATTAAAATCTACACAACAAAAATCATGCCACGATTAGCTATGACCTACATATAATGACGAATAAATCTTCTGAAATCGTACCAATACTCGTCGAGAAATAACTTTATATATTTTCTTTCTACGGACCATTAGTATAACTTCCTATTAGGGTCAATTATCCTATAAACCGGAAGTTTCTTGGACCTATGACCGGTTTAATACGATTGATTTTTCTATGACACAAGAAAGGAAGTCGCAGAAAGGAGGAGTCATTATAGGTACTAGTAATAAGTAATAGAAAGTAATAAGACGTTTTTCAAGAGATGAAAAGCGCAGAGAGATCGGGAGGGTGTGTAGATTGGGAGGCTAAAAAGGAAGGTCTAAGAAGAAGCAGCAGTCGAAGGTAAGATGGATAATTGAAGCGAGAACATAGAACGTAGCCGGAAGTTTCCCAGTTTCCTCTGGCCGGAAGTTTACGTGAAAGTTTAATCTGTAAAGATATAAAGGGCAGCTCTGGCTCGATAAGAGAACGACTCTGAACGACTGGATGGACGTTATCGAATCGCGAGTTAATGAGCATTATGCGATAAAATGTCTCGGTCTGGAACCTGACCTGCGGCAACCAAATCTAGTGGCTTAATGTTATGAAAGCGCTATGAAAGCGTTCTTCATAAAGATCTGTGCGAGCTTCGTTCATCATCATGAATTGTAGCTGCTGTCGTTACCTTGGCTTAACTAGTTGAAGAAAACTTTCGAAATTCTCTCTAAAGTGTCTCAAACTGACATCTTAAAGTGGGGGAAAATGATTAGATATGTCAAGATCGTGACTTTTGATCTCTAAATAAGAAATTCTGTTAACTCGCAGAGAGTCATTTTCAATGAAGAAGAATGTAATAACCGTAAAAAATATTGTGCTTATTGTTAGTAAATTCTGAATTTTAGGACCAATGAAAGCTCAATCTTGTAGTTGACATTCGACAACTTTCGACACATATAATTTAAATATTTCTATTAATCAGAAAGAATATTTTTATCGGCTCTCAATATTAAGATATAAATATGATATTTTTAAATCGGCCAACAGAGCCAAAACACAAAAAATTAATTATTTGGAACTGTATCTCTTGGTTTGAGATCACTAAGTTCCATATATAAATTAATCTCGAAACTTACATATGGCTCTATAGAAATAGGCTCTGTTGGCCGATTTAAAAACATCATATTTCTATTAATATAGTTCCTCGCAATCTTGATCTTTCGCAGAAATGACACATAACACACAGATGAAAAGCAATACTACAAAACACACATTCCGTCTTGATCTTTTGCAGGATGGGGGCACAGAATGTGTTATAATGTTACAGGACGACCTTACGTTTCGAGACGATTCAGTGGTCCCACGCAGGGGGAGAGTGGGCTGCTGCTGGTCCGTTCGCCGGAAGGATCGCCGAAGCTTCCGTTCTGCTCAATGTGACGCGCGGCTTCCGGATACAGCCATGCCCAAGTCCGGTCAGCGAGTATCGCGTACCTTCTGCTCTGCCTGATCCTGCAAGCATTCCTGCAGGAACATCGTCGCGAAGCGACCCGCTGGCGAAGCCAGGCGGAAGAAACCTCGGCGAAACTTCTGGTGACGCGGATGTCAGCTTTTCCAAAAATGACGAAGACGAAAAGGAAAAGCGCAAGTTTCTCCTGTACATATAATACACTGAGGTCCTCTTTTTCGACGAATTTGCCCCGCGCGATTCACGCGTTTGTTGACGAAAACGCGCGTTTGTCAACACGCGATACCTTGTGTATCTTTAATATCGCGACATGCAATAGAAATTCGATGAAATCGCTCACGCCCTCGGCGCGAATTACTACGGCCTTGGTGTTCCTCAGATCTTATAGCGAATTCTCTTGTTCTATCTTGGACGATTCCATAGAAGACACGTTTACAAATTGTTTGACAATTGCGAGGAAGAGCGCGACCCGCTGCCGTCGTCGTACGAAATCTTTAGACGAGAGACTCGCGTCTGTATGAACGAGTATCCATGCGATCGAGAAATGGTTCGAAAAAGAAAAAGGAATTCGATTTCTCTGGCCTTATACGAAAATAGCGAAGGAGAGAAAGGGAAGAGATCGCGCGGGCGATACATATTTATATAGAGAGAAAATTTGTAAACTACGAATTTATGCGCGCTGACATTCGCGCGACATATACGCCGTACGATGTGTATATATTTGTATAGGTAATATAAATAATAAAGCCAATGTTTACGAATTGTGGAACGCGACGTTCCCGCATGTTGGGATCAGAACGAAAAGAAGACCAATTTTTTCTGTTATTTTTTTTTTCATTTTTTGTCATTCGCGAATTTTTTGCAAATGAAAGGAAGCGCGCGAGATACGGCTGTGGCGGATATAAATTCAAATTTTGTGCCGAACTATAATTATTATAATATTGCGAAGCAAACTGCCATATAATAAAGTATGGTGAGCGATTTGCCTATAATAATAATAACGAAATGATGAGAAACGAACGAGCAGAATGATGTAACACGGGCAGAAGAAGAAGAGATCGTTGCAAACTTAATAAAAAAAAAACAAAAAAAAAAAAAGATACGCGATCTCTCCTGCATGCCCCAGAACGTAAGTTCGTGCTACCGGATGAGAAACAAACTTAATTGTCCTACGTCAAATATTCCCGAAGATAGGGCGGCTAAAA